TTTCTAGAATGTAGTGTTTTTGACATTGATATTCTGATAGGAAAACATGCAAACACAATATCATTAAAAAAGGTTTGTGCCACAGTTCCATGTACATGATCCAGTCCCTCCTATACTGTATAATACTGTATATATACGGTGTATATTATATGTTCAGAGAACACAATGCACCTTTTTATTTGTTTAGTTATTAAATCACTGCTCACCATGTTGAATATTTTATAAAGTGCATAATGAAATGTGCTTGATTAGTTTGAAAAAAATTCAAAACTGTAGGTAGGTTAAAAACATTTTTAAATATAACTGTATATGCAATGGCTACAGCAATGAGATTAAAGTCTTTCCAAGCAGAAAAAAAATCTCACAATGAGGTATTCATTTTTAAATGTCTCCTTAATGTTTAAAAGGACAACATTGAGTCATGAGAATTTTTACCTCCACTGCTTCTTTGTGGTGGTTACGATTTCTGAAATAATTTCTAATACAAAACCATTCAAAAATGAGAATTTTGATAAAAGGATAACTAATATCATGTAGTTGTCACAAAATAGGTTAATACAGCATCACAAAATATATTAATATTAATACACCTGCCACTAAATATTCCTAGTGGTGTATGTTGTTTTGTACAAATTATCACAAAACAAACATGGATTCACCCGAAAAGTCCAACATATAGATCAGGCCTACTGTTTTATATTAATCTATAATCGCCAGAGCCAGCTTTACTTCTTGAGAAGATGCTTCATGGTTTCAACATGCCAATTAGGAAACAGGTTCAATCTTTTCAACCTATAAGGAAGTGCTGGCAAAGAGGACAATGTTGTCCAAATTGTAGCTAGCGGACCAAATTCAAAATATCACAATTCAAAGTTCTGCCTCCACTATTCCAGAGACAATTTTTTTTCAACCAATTTATTCAGCTATCCAAAATTTCAGAAAACGACAGAAATTTGGATAGTTTAGTTATAAAAATTGCTTGTGAATAGTTTGTTTTCGTGTCATTAAACCACACCAGTGAGAACAGGCCATAAATCCTGTTGTGTTGCTGGCCCATTCAAATCTGTCATCATTGCAAATCCCACAGGCACTTGTATGAAACCCTCATTACTATGAAACGGGTCAATCTACATGAAGGGCCAAAGACAGCATACTGCTTGAGAAGTGTGTAGAAAGATGCTTCACATTCTCAAAAACCTAAGCCTAAAACAGCAAATGTAAGACAGTATGTGCTTAGCGTTGGGTGGTCATCGGTCTCTGTATGTGGAAGTTTAGGATGTATTGTTGAATGCATGTAAGATATTCCCAAAGATGAAGATGTGATGACATTGCCCCGGTGCTGCTGGTCCATTCAAATCTATCATCAATGCTAATCCCACAGGGACTCTCATTAGTATGAAACAAGGCAATCTACATGAAGGGCCAAAGACAGCATAACTGCTTAAGAAGTGTGCAGAAAGATGCTTCACATACTCAAAAAGCTTAGTAAAGAGTGTGCTTTCATATCATTCCCTCACACCGATGTGAACAGGCCTTCAATTGCTTCAAAACTGAAGACATAACAGTCCCTTTTCAATGAGAGAAAGCCAATTATACCATTACTTTTACTGCTGTCCGGGTGGACACTAAATCTTAAGCCTAAAACAGCAAATGTAAGACAGTATGTGCTTAGCGCTGGGTAGTTGTTTGAGGAAGTATGATAGGTGTACAAGCTATTCCTGCAAAAGATTCTGGAAAATGAAGATCTCTTTCCCACTCATCTGTCTCGGTGTTATAAATTTGCACAATACTTGTGACGTTATTGAGGTGCCAGTTGTATCCTCCAACTATACAGATCTTTTTATCCAGCAGGCAGCAGCCAGCCTCCGACTGACCAGCACGCATCGGACTGACTGTTGTCCATTGATCGGTCTCTGGAACGTAGTACTCTACAGCTAGAACATCAAAGCAGCGGTCAACGTGGTCCATTCTGCCTCCGAGTGCATATATACGGTTGTTTACACTGATCATAGCATGCAGGACTCTTGGCTCGTTCATGGGACACTTGAAGTCCCACTGATCCAAGGCTGGATCATAGCAATGGAGAGTTTTCTTATCCTCTATAGACACCCCGTAACCTCCAGAGACGTAGAGTTTCTCTCTGCACGTCGCTCCGGCGTGACCCCAGATTCTCCTCTTCAGGGAATCCACATAAGTCCATTCATTTTGCCTTGGACAATAGCACTCTACAGAGGACAAGCTGCCAGACCTGTTGCGCCCCCCAGTAGCGTAAAGTTGTCCATGCAGTACGTTGAGCTGAAACTGAATGCGGCTTTCCTGCATGGGTTGGATTCGAAGCCACTGGTTCAGATGGGGGTCATAGCGGAAGCAGACGTCAACTGCACCCTCTCCACTGCGATACTGTAAATGCTGCCCACCCACGACGTACACAAAATTGTCAAGAACCGACACACATGCATGGCTGCATCCCATCTCCATTTCGGTCAACTCTTTGAACTGTCGCACTGTGATGTCGGGTAGATAGAAAACTTTGCTGCTGACTGTCCGATCGTTGTCGGTGTAGGGTGTTCCACCGAAAGTAATTAGCGACTTGACGTCTGAACGAATGGAAGTTCGCGGAGACTGCATTTCGTGCTGTCGGAATGGAAGGATTTGATAATTAAAGGCCTCTAGAAGAAAGTGTCGACACTGCACATCCTCCACCATGATGTCGACAGATTGGACACTGTCCACAAGTTCAGACGACCGCATTAGCGGGAAGCGCACGTGGCAGACAACTTCACTGGCCGCAGCTCGTCTGGATGCGTCATGCTGCAGCCAGCGGATTGCTGCGTGGAACAAGTCGATCTCACTACAGTTCTTCAACTTGTTGCTCTGAAGGAAGAAAACCAGTCGTTCCTTTGGAATGTGAAGGAAGTCGTCCTCCTGAGCTATTTGCAGGAAGTGACGGAATGTGAACGCATCGACTGACTGCTTAAGGGACGAGAGGCTGAAGGTGGTGGCCATCTGGCCGATGTTAAGACAAGTTTCAACACTCATGGCTGATTTCAGGAACTCCTCACAAAGCTCCACCACAGGCACCATCTGCAGGAAGACAGCTGCACCAAGAACATCCTGAATGCAGTCCAAGTCCAGAGTGACTTCAGAACACCATAGAGCTAAAAGGTCTTTCAGCCAGAGGACTGAAGCACATTATTGATTTTGCCTACAGTTCTGAAGTCACTCTGGACTTGGACTGCATTCAGGATGTTCTTGGTGCAGCTGTCTTCCTGCAGATGGTGCCTGTGGTGGAGCTTTGTGAGGAGTTCCTGAAATCAGCCATGAGTGTTGAAACTTGTCTTAACATCGGCCAGATGGCCACCACCTTCAGCCTCTCGTCCCTTAAGCAGTCAGTCGATGCGTTCACATTCCGTCACTTCCTGCAAATAGCTCAGGAGGACGACTTCCTTCACATTCCAAAGGAACGACTGGTTTTCTTCCTTCAGAGCAACAAGTTGAAGAACTGTAGTGAGATCGACTTGTTCCACGCAGCAATCCGCTGGCTGCAGCATGACGCATCCAGACGAGCTGCGGCCAGTGAAGTTGTCTGCCACGTGCGCTTCCCGCTAATGCGGTCGTCTGAACTTGTGGACAGTGTCCAATCTGTCGACATCATGGTGGAGGATGTGCAGTGTCGACACTTTCTTCTAGAGGCCTTTAATTATCAAATCCTTCCATTCCGACAGCACGAAATGCAGTCTCCGCGAACTTCCATTCGTTCAGACGTCAAGTCGCTAATTACTTTCGGTGGAACACCCTACACCGACAACGATCGGACAGTCAGCAGCAAAGTTTTCTATCTACCCGACATCACAGTGCGACAGTTCAAAGAGTTGACCGAAATGGAGATGGGATGCAGCCATGCATGTGTGTCGGTTCTTGACAATTTTGTGTACGTCGTGGGTGGGCAGCATTTACAGTATCGCAGTGGAGAGGGTGCAGTTGACGTCTGCTTCCGCTATGACCCCCATCTGAACCAGTGGCTTCGAATCCAACCCATGCAGGAAAGCCGCATTCAGTTTCAGCTCAACGTACTGCATGGACAACTTTACGCTACTGGGGGGCGCAACAGGTCTGGCAGCTTGTCCTCTGTAGAGTGCTATTGTCCAAGGCAAAATGAATGGACTTATGTGGATTCCCTGAAGAGGAGAATCTGGGGTCACGCCGGAGCGACGTGCAGAGAGAAACTCTACGTCTCTGGAGGTTACGGGGTGTCTATAGAGGATAAGAAAACTCTCCATTGCTATGATCCAGCCTTGGATCAGTGGGACTTCAAGTGTCCCATGAACGAGCCAAGAGTCCTGCATGCTATGATCAGTGTAAACAACCGTATATATGCACTCGGAGGCAGAATGGACCACGTTGACCGCTGCTTTGATGTTCTAGCTGTAGAGTACTACGTTCCAGAGACTGATCAATGGACAACAGTCAGTCCGATGCGTGCTGGTCAGTCGGAGGCTGGCTGCTGCCTGCTGGATAAAAAGATCTGTATAGTTGGAGGATACAACTGGCACCTCAATAACGTCACAAGTATTGTGCAAATTTATAACACCGAGACAGATGAGTGGGAAAGAGATCTTCATTTTCCAGAATCTTTTGCAGGAATAGCTTGTACACCTATCATACTTCCTCAAACAACTACCCAGCGCTAAGCACATACTGTCTTACATTTGCTGTTTTAGGCTTAAGATTTAGTGTCCACCCGGACAGCAGTAAAAGTAATGGTATAATTGGCTTTCTCTCATTGAAAAGGGACTGTTATGTCTTCAGTTTTGAAGCAATTGAAGGCCTGTTCACATCGGTGTGAGGGAATGATATGAAAGCACACTCTTTACTAAGCTTTTTGAGTATGTGAAGCATCTTTCTGCACACTTCTTAAGCAGTTATGCTGTCTTTGGCCCTTCATGTAGATTGCCTTGTTTCATACTAATGAGAGTCCCTGTGGGATTAGCATTGATGATAGATTTGAATGGACCAGCAGCACCGGGGCAATGTCATCACATCTTCATCTTTGGGAATATCTTACATGCATTCACAATACATCCTAAACTTCCACATACAGAGACCGATGACCACCCAACGCTAAGCACATACTGTCTTACATTTGCTGTTTTAGGCTTAGGTTTTTGAGAATGTGAAGCATCTTTCTACACACTTCTCAAGCAGTATGCTGTCTTTGGCCCTTCATGTAGATTGACCCGTTTCATAGTAATGAGGGTTTCATACAAGTGCCTGTGGGATTTGCAATGATGACAGATTTGAATGGGCCAGCAACACAACAGGATTTATGGCCTGTTCTCACTGGTGTGGTTTAATGACACGAAAACAAACTATTCACAAGCAATTTTTATAACTAAACTATCCAAATTTCTGTCGTTTTCTGAAATTTTGGATAGCTGAATAAATTGGTTGAAAAAAAATTGTCTCTGGAATAGTGGAGGCAGAACTTTGAATTGTGATATTTTGAATTTGGTCCGCTAGCTACAATTTGGACAACATTGTCCTCTTTGCCAGCACTTCCTTATAGGTTGAAAAGATTGAACCTGTTTCCTAATTGGCATGTTGAAACCATGAAGCATCTTCTCAAGAAGTAAAGCTGGCTCTGGCGATTATAGATTAATATAAAACAGTAGGCCTGATCTATATGTTGGACTTTTCGGGCGAATCCATGTTTGTATTGTGATAATTTGTACAAAACAACATACACCACTAGGAATATTTA